TATTAAAAGCAAATAAAATTTAAAATAAATATCATTAGAATTGATTAGAAATATTCATATTCAAGATTTAAAACTCCTTAACTAAATATCTAAGAATAGCATAATATCAAAACTAATTCTATTATGAAATTTTAAGACTTTTAGAATAACTTTTTTTTAAAACTTAATTAGGAGAATTAGAATATCATTTTAGAAATAAATTAAAAATTTAAAGTTCTAAGAGCAAAGTTGTAGATCAATTTTGAAGAGTAGAGTTGCATGTAAATTGGAAATTTAGAATTAGGGTTAAAGTACATATTAAGAAAGAAAAATAAATTATGAAATATTGGGATGCTCTATTTTTATTTTTTAATTAAATTAATGAAGTTATTATTTTTGAAACAAGAAAAAAAATTTAAAATAGTATAAAACATATTATATTATTTAATTAAGTTATATTGTAATCGAACTTTATTTTCTAATTGGGCAATTCCGATAATTTAAAAGTAAAATTACAAATCAAACCAATTATATTGATTTTAAAGTTTTACAATTTCAACAAACTCAATTTTATATTGGTTTGGTTTGATTTTTAATTAAATTGGATCATATATATAAACATCCCTACAAATATAAAATTTCATCTCAAATTTAAAAAAATCAATTCCTAAAAAAATTTCAAAAAATTTCAATACAAATTAATATAAAATTAACTACTACAATTATTATTTATTTAAAATACATTTATTTTTATTTAATAATTATAATAACTACTAATTAAAATATTTATAAGACTTAAAATAAAATTATTTGGTCCAAGCCCAAAACTTTAAGACTTAGAAAAGACGTTGAATATATTTTAGGCCTTTCTTTATATAAAGTATTAGTAAATTAAAGCTTATGTTCCTAATTGATATGGGATTAACCAATTTTTCATATAGAGGACTAGAAAGTTTTTACTTTTTATTGCTAAATAATATGAGATTCTTAATCTTTTATTCCACAATTTTACTCATATACCTATAAAAGAGTAAAAGATATATCAAAGAAAAACAATAAAAAAGCTCATCAAATTAAATGCAATTATCATTCTACAAAGAAATCTCAAATTGGTATTACGTATACTATTATTCATATATAATTTAACATGTAGTTTGATTGCATGATTTGATCCTGATTTGATTGTTTATCTATGTGGTCTCATAGTACTATAATACTATTGCTATGTTGGGATGGGAATTTAATTCCAATCATGAATATTATTTATCTTGTACTTTAAAGCCAATTATTTACCAGATGGGAATGATATTAAACTATTGGAGTGGAATTATAAGTCAATATGCCTAGGTTGATAAAGAATATGCATAATCTTTGTTTTGAGATTGTTAGGCAAAGAAGGGACAACTCTACTTGATTTGTACTTATTATATTTATACAACATATAACAATCCTCATGAAGTTGTTGTATTTACGGAAAAAATAATATTAAAATTTAATATATTATATATCTGTATTTAAGTTACTATTATTAAATTAAATACAATTTTACTCATAAAATTGCTTGTGCAAATATACCATGGAGAAATAGTGTTCCTATACATGATTATATGAAAGAAAGCTATCTCTAGTACAAGTATATATTATACGCTTATATTCTTATATATATATATATGCATGCTTGAGTGATGTAATTTTTTATAGAGTTAGTATAGTACATGAATCAAATATTAATATAATTTGTAAGAGTAAGAGTATCACTTATACTTCTACTCTAGCAATAAAATTTGTTGTTAAAAAAGGAAAAAAAGTCCATAAGAATGTGTTAAAATCTTTGAATT